TAAAATTTTTAGTCAAATTACTAAATGAAAGGAAATCACAGGGAATGCTTGGCAGTTGTTGGACAGGGTTTTGGGCATGCCCTCTAAACTGTCCCCTCCCCATTCATTCATTGAGTAATGACAAAGTAATTTACAGAAGTCACAAAATATGACAGCCTTTGCCCCGTGATTGCTGCAGTATCCAGTTGAATAAAGGCACGGTTTGAGTAAGGAATGGCATGCAGTGTTTTCCGCTTATTTAGGGTCGCTGGCCATACATTCATTTGTTTGATATTAGCCAGAATACCCAGCAGCGTTGTGCCGTTCCTAATAGCATGTTAACAAAGCTATCTATTATTATTTACCAGATGACCCCAGGGTCATTTGATGCAGCAGTTGAGGTCTTGATGGAATTGGGGGGTTAAGAGAGGAGGCACAGAGGTGGAGCAAAGAGCCGGGAAATGGCCAGGCGGCAGTGTGGCAAAATATTGGCTGCAGCAGGAGCAAGCTGAGCAGAAGGACAGATGGTAAGGCAGGCTTCATTACCCTTTCTTCATACAGTTAATAGAGTAGTATCTGTGCTGTGATAGTGATGAGAACACTAATGGATCTGGAACTAAGATAAACAGGGAAAGGCTGTGCCCACAGCCACCATGTATATCTGTGGCCACGGCTAAAGGCCAAATGGAGATCGATGGCTTTATATGGCTTTTTTTTAAGGCTAAGAAGTACACAGAAGTCTTTTCTGCTGCTTTTTCATGGACGAGCGTATCATGTAACTTTGCTTTAACCAACTTGTAGAGGAGGTGAATTCTTGTATGGCGCTGTGGCCGGGCAGTTCCAAAACTTGTCTGTCATTGTAAGGCGCTGTTGCTTTGATCTAGTGGCCGGGCAGTTCCAAAACTTGTCTGTCTTGTCCTAATTGGTGATAACACTGATTAGGCAGATAACCTTTCGTGCTGAAGATAAACACTTAGTAACACTTCAGACGAAACTAGTTAGAGCAAAACCAAACTAGAGAGCGGTAGCTCAGGCAGGGTGGGGAATGGATGGCTTGCTAAGTCCATCAGTTTCAGTGGACTTAGAAGGGTGTAACTCTGCATAGGACTGTACTGTGAAGATGTCCCCAGCAGACGTGGACTCACAGATGATTAGCGCAACCAGAATATATATCATTGCACCACGAAGCCTTCTGGAGCCAGTATGGCTATAGACGATGGGGCTTGGTTGGATGCCCCGTGGGTCCTCCTTTCTAGTACTGCTGGCATCAGAATACTCCAGTGCTAGAGAGAGCAAGGTGATAAGGGGAGCCCACACACCCCCGCCAAGATTGTGCTGGGTCCAGAATGGGACTGTGTCCTGCCAGGTCACTGGACACATTTGCTATACCTCTCTGCCCAAAACACCCTGTAGATACAAATGGATGAGTGGTTAAAATCCAGCAAAATTGGTGAGACCCGTTAATGTAATTAAGTCCATAGGCGAGCCTTTGCTTCCCTAGGATCAGATGAGCCTTGTAACTGCAATATTACGTTTCCTACATATTTTTAATTATTTAGCAACCAGATATCTGCCAAGGTCGCCAGGAAAGAATTGTGGAAGTTGAGGTAGGAAGTGATTAAGGCGAGGAGCAAAAAAGATTTCAGCAGAGGCCAGGTCAAGAGAAGGATGAAGTCTAGCTTTTCTGTCCATCTTTTATTTTAGGCTAAACATGCTTCCCTTTGATTTCGCCTGACCTTCCCATTGTATAGCAGCTTTGCTTCTTCACCCCTTTCTTTAAGCCTTCCCTCTGCCCTTTTAATGAGCTGCTCCCTATTCTTTGACTTCTTTTTCAATGTCAGTTTCATTTTCTTGGGCAGTTCTATAGGGAGTGCATTTTGTACACTGAATGTCATGCTCTCAGTTTTATTAATCCCCCTCCTGGTCTCTCCCAAATTGTATGGCAGAGAATTATTTTCATCCTGATAATTCTAGACTATTGTATCAGTAAATTATTGTCTCTGCTTGACCCTTACGATGCCGAGACATACAGGAAAATTCATTTGTGAAGTAAGCAAAATATCCTTCAAAAATATATTCCCACTGCAGCATGGAAAGCGAGAAACTGAAGAACAGCCCTGCAGTGCAAACGTTTGACAGAGAGCAGCGTGGTACTAGTTATTTCTTTACTGTCAGACCAACCTGTGTGTTTTAAAACAAAAAGTCTTCCATCTTTTGTCTAAAGCAAACAGGTATCAAGTTTGTATGTATTTGTTTATATTTAGCTGTAATTTCATATAATAAAAAGTGTGTGTATATGCTTAAATCTTGGTTGTATGGAGACAGCAACTGAATTCTGAATCTTTCATTTAACAAAAGGGTGTAATATCACACTAGATTAAGGCTGCAGTCATATGCACATTTATTGGGAAGCTTCTGAGTAAAAAATGCCTAGGATCAGACTTCAATACTGGCCATTCCACACAGACTAGTGCAAAAAATGCACTAGTTGGTTGTAAGAAACTCTGGGAACATGCATATAACTCGCCATGCATATGTTCACATATTTGCATTTATGCAAACATTTAGCAAGATATACTTGTTGTGTGATGCCTACAATAGTTAGGAAAAGCACAACTTTTGAAGTGGCCCTTAAAAATGTACCACATTCAAAATATCACACTTTTTGCTTAATTTTGTGCTCATTTTTACTCCAGAAGTATGCATTATAAAGATGGGAGATCACCCGTGCGGCCAGCATTCAACCACAATAGGGTAATTAAAGCTGTAACCTCTCTTGTATGTCCTTTGGCTTCTGTATGTCCTGGCCCCACTGCTGGACTTCCTGATGGCACCTGGTGTTTTTGGCCACCGTGTGACAGTGTTGGACTGGATGGGCCATTGGCCTGATCCAACATTGGCTTCTCTTATGGGGGTTGGGATTTGTCAAACCTGTGGAATGGCAGAAACCTTCCTTTTTCTTCTTTTTTTGGTTTTTTTTTCCATTTTGTGTGTGTGCGCGCACGAGCACCTGGAAAGCCTTCCTTCTGCTTTAGCAAATTACAGATTGTAGCTGATGACTACATGACAGTCTTTGACACCTAGGTTTGGCAAAGTCAGAGTAAGCTTGGCACATTCCTAGGGACCTGACCATCTTTCTTCTTCTGATCAGGCTCTCAACTGTGACTTCACATGTACTTATGACATCATATTGATGATTAGCCAGTGAACGTGCACAGCATTTTATGTGCTATTTGAGTGACGATGACAAATGCATTAGAACATTATTGTGACTAGCTGCTTTATCTGGTTGTTTGTGCCAAAAAGGACTTGCTTCTAGCTAACTAGGAAGGGAAGATCAGAAAATTGTAAACCAGAGAATTTAGTTCTTCTCTGGTGTCTTCCTCTGTTCAGGCAGTCAGTGTGCTGCAAATTACTTCACACAGGCACGTGAGGCTACGTAGACAGAAAAATGTAGCACACTGGTCAACTTTGTGGACTTGTTTGCAGGGCTTTATGAAAAGTGCTTTTCCCACTGCTGAATCATCACACTTACCTGCTGCAAATAAGACACCTTCAAATATTTATCTGTGGGGTATAGTTAATGACCAGTTTGAGGCTGTCCAGGGAAAAGTGAAATGTTTTTTAAAATTATTTCCTCTAAATCAATTACATGTTTTAGTCAATTAACGAGTGGGGAGGGATTATCCCCTCCCCCACGTTGACTCCTATATTTAAAAAGCAAGGTGGAAAAAAAACACTGTAAGAACCAGCTGAATTGCGAGCTGTCATTCGCTCAAAATCGTGCCGGACCATTCAGTCCTCCGACTTGTTTACTGGACGTCGAATGTCCATTTTCCTTTTGCGGCAATCGGTGGGCGATGCTCACAGGTCTTGACTGCCTTCCTCTGCGGCCGCCCCCCACCCCGATGAGAAAGACAGCCGAGGGCCCGTTTATCATTCGCCATCGATTGAGGCGGACTGGCCAGAGCGCGGAGGGCGTGGGCACGGGGGAGCGCGCGTGGGTTTACCCGGGGATAGCCGCGCCAGACGGTGTCCTCGCGTAACCCTCCTCTTTAAAAATCGCCACTATGTAGCCCTTGCCTTATAAAGTCAAAATGCACAATACCTTTCTGAAGAGCGGGAGAGGCCACGAGCGGCG